GGGTAGCTATAACAGCCATATTAGGGGGGTATTTCTATATTTTGTTTATGGGGTTGAAAAAATAACATAAATGCCCCCAATAGCTATATAACAATTAGTTTAATGGGGGTATTTTGGGTAAAGTTATAAGTAACTTTACCATGACCAAAATACCCTTTCCAATAACTAAATAACAGATAGTTTTTTGGGTATTTTGGGTAATTAAATTATGTTTAATTCTTATAAATAGCCCTATCCTCCACCATTCTCATTACATCAATTCAACAATTCTCTTAATTCTCTCTCTCTCTCATACTCTCATACATTCACAATTATCTGTAATCTGAGAAATTCTGATTAACTGATTGTCTAATTCTACATTTTCCAATTCTCAAGTCTCAACTTTATCGAAGTTTCAACTTTCAATAAGAAGAAGGCTTGTTCAACCAGTTAAGTATCTCAATTCGGGAGGCTTTGACGTTGAAAGGCTTCAACCGTTGAAATCAAGTTGGAATTTTGAATCGGCAATCCGGGCAAGTCAAATTAGATTAATTTTTATCTTTTTAGAATTAAAAAAAAGCCATGGTCGGCCTTTCTCAAAACCGATTCCCCAACATGTTCACTATGGATGACATTCAATCACATCATGATAGTATTAGTGTTAGCATTGATGCCGATGCATTTGATGTCGATGGAAGTGGAACTTTCATCCCCGGTAGTAGTGATACTAGGGGAAAAAGTAGGGCTTTTAAGCTGAGTAGCTCGGTTTGAAAAGTTTTCAAAGTAGATGAGATATTGAGGGGAAGGGAAAAATGGTTGTTTGCCAAAAATGTAGGAAAAAATTTAATTATTGTAGCAAGGGTGGTACGGATTATTTGAACAGACATCTGCTCACACATGAGCGAAATGAAGATGAAGGAAGAGAAACAACCCAAACACAGAATGGGAGGGGGACTAGTTTTGGTACTTTTAGATATTCACAAGAAAAAATGAGACAAAAACTTACCAAGTATATTGTACATGCAGAACAACCATTTATGTTAGCTGAAGATCCAAAACTAGAAAAATGGTTGCATAGTTCTGTAAACCCACAATATAAAAAAGTTTATAGGAATACTATAAGAACTGATGCTTTAAAAATTTTTTATTCATGTAAACAAAATTTAATTTCTTCGTTAGCAAATCTTAATTCTAAAGTTGTAATTACTTCGGATGTTTGGACATCCAAATTTAATATTAGTTATATTTGTGTTATTGGCCATTTCATTGATGAAAATTGGCTTTTGAATAAAAGAATTTTAAGTTTTACTAGGCTTGAATGGCCACATAGTGGCCAAGCTATTGTTGCAAGTATTTTAATTACTTTGCATGCCTATGGAATAGAAAACAAATCTCAATTAAAACCATGCTTAAATGGTAAATTATTTCATATTAGATGTGCATGTCACATCTTAAATTTATGTATTCAAAATGCCTTGAATATTATTTCAAATCATATTTCAAAAATTAGAAATTGTATTATATATATAAAAAGTTCAGGGGCAAGAAAACAAGAATTTAAATATTTATGATAAAATTATGGTTTAAAATATAAACATTTTATATTAGATGTAAAGCATAGTTGGAATTCTACCTATGCTATGTTAGAAAGTTGTATATCTCATAAACAAATTCTTTCTGATTTTTATAATTTAAAAATGTCTAATGATATGGTTTTTTAGGAAGACTGGGAAATGGCAGTCTGAATAAGAGATTTTTTAAAACATTTTTATGATGTAATAAATGAATTATCTAGAATTTATTATCCAACTAGTTGTAATTTACCGTATGAATTAATGGTAATTAGTGATTGTTTTGCCAAATATAAAAATAATCCATAATTTCAATGTATTATTGAAATTATGGAAAATAAATTTAAAAAATATTGGGAGAACATTTCTCCCCTATATTGTTTAGCTATAATATTAGACCCTAGGATTAGAAAAGATGGTTTAGATATTTTACTTGAAACATATTATGAAAATATGAATATTGATATAGGAAATAAAAAAGAAGAAATTAATAATTTATTATTTAAAATGTATCGTTTGTATGAATATGAAATTGTAGGAAATATTCCTATAACTTGTTCATCATCTTCTTCTTCTCCTTCTGACTTTGAGCCCAGTAGTAGAAGAGAAAAGCTTTTTTATTTAATAAGTAGAAGGCAGAAATCTGCTAGTTCTACAATAAGTTCATTTATTGAACTTAATTTTTATTTGCAAGCAATTTTTTTTAATTTAGGTGAAGTATCAAATAATTTTTATATTTTAGCCTAGTGGGGTGAACACTTGAAAAATTATCCAGCTCTCGTTGCCATGTTACGTGATCTACTAATCCCTCCAGTTTTTACAGTTCCATCAAAGTCTTGTTTTAGTGCAGGTACTAGGGTGTGGATGACAAAAGAAGATGCATGAACGATGAGAACATAAAGATGTGCATCTGCTTCAAGGATTGACTAGATGCCAAAGATAGATTACAAGACGAGGGAGGGCATGATACAACATCGGACATTTCACCTGAAGCAGATGATGAAAGTCATGAATGATGATTCATGAATTTGACTACTTGTAGAATTTTTCATTTTTTTCAATTTATTTGATATATATATATATATATATTTTAATTTTATAATAATGTGATTTTGTATTTTCAATTTGTAACCATTTTGTATTTTTTATATTTTATTAATTTATTCCATTTTTATATTTCATTCATCCAACTATGCAATTATCCAATCATTGTATTTGTAATTCACTAATTTGTACCATTCAAATTTAAATGAAATAAAATCCCTATTTTTCTTTCAATTTGTTATTCCGTCGTTCTTATTTCAATTTGGTTAAGTATTTTTTTTCATTTCTGTATTAAATAATTTAGATTTTTCATTTCTTTATTTTTTAAATAGTTCATAATTCCCAAAGTTCATAGGAATGTTAAATATTTTAGTTTTACAATTTTACTTAGAAAAGAAATCAAAATTTTCAAAAAAGAAAATAAAAAATAAAATAAACAATGTAGCCCGGTTCGGCCTAGGCCCAAGGTCCGCCCTGTGGCCTAGCCTGATACGATCCAAGCCCATGGTACGGCCTACAGCCTGGCTCGGCCCAGACCCGCATATCAGCATGGCACGACATGAACCCACTTGGTCCTAGACCGTGGGCCGTACTAGGCCGACCCCCAAAATTTCCACCGGAGAACATAACACGACACGGTCCACTTTAGACCTCTACTTGAAACCTGTCCACTTTACACCTCTACTTGAAACCTTTAAACCTGGTGGTGATACATAGTTTCCGTCCGACATAAGAAAATAATTCCCATTATTGACAAATCCAGTAGTTGAGCAGTTAACAATCATTCAATTTCAATTTGTGCCTTTTCTTTTTATCCCATTCCATTTCAGGTTTCAATCATATAGAAATGCTTTGTCTAATGGACAGCTATGAGGTCTCCGTCGCTGGTATGGATTTTCTGCATAAGCTGGGTCAAGGGTGTGGCGGAGGATCGATCAGGTTGTAGGCTTTAATTGGTTGAGAAATCGGCTCTTAACCTACCATCTTTTCATCTCCACTTTCCACGTGGCAAATTTCAGCCTCGGTCCTCTCCTTTTGGTAAAGCATCTAATAGTTTATAAAAACAAGAATCTACACAGGCGTGGCTCTGCATCCTATTCTCTCAGGTTTTGTTTGGTTAATTTGAAGAGATGAGGGAAAGTTGGCAAGGTTTCTTGTGAAATTCCTTCAACAACATCGATTTTCAATATAAACTTTACATTGGAAACAAATGTCGAAAAAATCAGACCGAGTATAAAGTCTTCCACTGGTCTAATTTTACACGGAAAATAAATGCT